CTAGTATGGATGAACTATACATGAGCAAACAAGCCTGGGGCAACAGAAAAAGCCACTCATACAGGATGTTTCCACACAGTGGAATTCAACGCTGGATATGGTTTCACATCTACTAAAGAATCAAGAGGCTGTTTTTGCTGTGCTAAACAAACAAAAGCACAAGCTAGTCATTTTAACTCCATCAGAGCTGGTAAAACTCCAAAGCTGGCAACTGTCCTTGAGCCATGCAGGTAAATAAAACTATTTTTTAACTTATTGTTACTGTTTCTTCAAAAAGCTTTATAGTTTAGTTATTGTGTAGGTTAATAATTACTTTCTTGAACAGTCTACTACAGGTTTGTGACTGAGCTTCGTGGAGGTGAAACATATGTCTCATGTTCAGTGGTTTTACCTGCTTTCTGCCTCCTGCATCACACCATGGAGGTCTCTGATGATGACTCAAACTACATGGTGAAATTTAAGACTGCCTTCACAAAGGACCTATCCCAACGTGTAGCTACACTCAACCATCAGTTGTTCAAGATAGCTACTGTGCTTGATACACGCTTTAAGGATTTGTGTCTTGCAAGGGGAGAGTGAGAAGAGGTTTGGACCAGCCTTGAGGCCCTGCTGCAGGAACAGTGTAAAGATGCCACCACAAAGGAGCCAGCAAAGACAAAGAGCCTCTTCTCTTAAATAATTTCCCCCAGGGATCAATAAAGTATTCTGATTCTGATTCTCTTCATTGTCCTCGGACCCTGATTCAGATGATGAAGCCCTGCGTAACAGGGTCGAGCAGGGACCCACCAGCAACTGTCTGTCCTGGCCTGCAAGTATTTGATGAGTCCTGCCACTTCTATCTATGCGAACAGGCTAGTTTGTCTAAGTAACTGGCTGAAAGAGACGGCCAATACATAAGCATGCAGGTATTGTGAGTCCAATGGGTTTGTTATTTTTTGCACTAAAACGTTCGATGATCACATTGTTTTAGCCTAATGTACAAAATACTTTTTGGCTAAGGGTACTCAGAGTTTAAAGGTGAACCTGGTCAAATAAACGTTTGTGTTTCTGCCTTAGTCTTTTAAAGAAGAAAAACTGCACTTTATGATGACATTTTTATTATTATTATTCAAAGACAATGCCATTTTGAAAATGTACTTAACCTCCTAAGACCCGAACTCTTCCACGGCATGCATTTTTAATTTCTTTTTGATATTTGGGCTGATTGGGGCTTGATGAATGAAAAAAAAAAAGAATTACCAGATTTTTTTTTTTTGGCCTTTTTTTTTTTTTAAAGAAAAATAAGAGCCACATATGAGGATATTCATTTAAAATTTTGATAAAACAGTAGCAGCATAGTGTCCTCGTAAGTGGATATCAGGCCCAAATTGAGTATTTTGGTCTAAATAACCCAAAATGCGATGTCCACATATGTGGACGCCAGGTCCTAGGAGGTTAAGGTACTTAAAATAGGACTTTATTTTTAAGTCTGCCCAATTTTGGCCAGGGATATTATTTTTGTTTCTCTGTTTTGAATTGAAATGCAGTTTAAATGCTTTTTATTTAGTTTCTCCCCAGAAATTAAAAGAGCTTGAGTTTACTATATTCATGTCCATGACTATTATTTATTCTGTCGCATACTAAAACCCTTTTAAATTAAAAAAAAAATATTTTGATTTTAATTTAATTAGATTTTAGAGATTACTTATTTACAACGCCTCTTATTAATTACATAAAAATTTTAATCGAGTTTTTACTTTTTAAGTAATGTCTGAAGTTTTTTTTTTTTTCCAAAAGTGATATAATCTAATCAGCTATATGCTGATGATAGTATTGCAACCATGACTTTGACTTCAACATGAAGGGAATGAAAAAAAGAAAAAAAGGATTGTTGAGTGAGGGAGCAGGAACATAGGAAAATATTACTTTATAATTTGTAAGCGTTTCTCTGTGGCCTCAAACTGCAACACATGAAAAACGAACTCTGTTGAATTATTATTTAGGAAACTGACCTTCCAGTGCATTTAATAAAAGGTAGCCATTGGAAAATGACTAAATTGATCAACAAAATGCAAAGAAACAAGCAACATGACTTCATACAGTAAGAAGACTCATGACAGCATCCACTCTGCCAGTCTCAGTTTGAGTGTGCCAGTGAGGAAATACTCACTGGAATCATAAACAATATAAAGGATGGACCTAGCTTCTAGGTCTGAAAAGTAAAGGAAATGCAGAAATGCTTTAAGCTTGCATTCTTTTTAAAGGCCACCAGGCACACAAAAAAAACGACTTCCTGTCCTATAAAAGTCCAAGGAACCATCAGCCCTGACCTCTGTAAACACTTTCTTACAACTTTACGGTCTGACTCATTCATTTCGAGTCAAACTGATTAAAACATGATTCATTTTTAAAACTTTGGTCATTCTAAGAATCAGAGAAAAGAGGATTTCATCATCCACACTCCCTGTCTTTCTTTCTGCTTATTTAGAATCAGTTAGATCCTCTTTCTTCTACTTATTTAAACCTCCCTTGTATTTAACCTTTTGCTTGTTTCCAAAATCTGCCTTTTCCCAGAATTGGTCAGACACTATCTAAGTGTCAGTGTAAGTGTCAGCTTCTCTCACTCAACCTCAGAGTGGAAACAAGTTTTAGATTTTCTTGAACTTTCTGTGCATTATTGAGCAATTCTTTGATAAGCTGGAAAACCAAAAGAACACATTTACTAAGCAGGACAGTCAAACCATTAAACCTCTTGCTTTCAGGTAACATTTCATCACCTCAGTCTCAACAATATTACATTTTCTTAGATTTCAGATCTCGGTTTTACAATACTGCCCTCCTGTGGTAGAAGTTATAGTACAGGTTTGCAGAGGGTAATTACAAAAATGACCTTTTATATTCAAAGTCGAACCGTTTTTAGCCCGTGTTAACCAGCTAAACTTCAACAAAATATTCATTTATATTTCTCAGATATGTAAGCATTCATCATATTATATTTTATATTTTCGTGAGTGGTTTCATCTGTCTCTCGGTTTAGACAAGCTGTTCAGTCACTGTAGCTCTGGTGTCCCTACATTAACAACAATGCCTGGCCTTGTTTGGGCTATTACCAAGAACACCATTACACCATTGCACCACCCGCTGAGCTACACATAAATATTTTCTTTAAACTGTTCATTGTTTTTTTCTGAACTAGTTCTTTGTGTGAATCTGCACAGTGAAATTCCTCAGCCCTCATTTCTCACTTTGGAATGAGCGTGAAGCTGTGATTTTTGCAGCTCACAGGTTCTGTGCAGTAATCCAATAATCAATGCCTTCACAGCTGTGGTGTCGCTGTAGATGCCATTACAGACGACCTTTGTAGTCTGATTACGCCATGTGACACATTATAGTTGATGATGTAGAAATATTATGCAACAGCTTTCATTCACTCTCTCATGACTTTTTGTTGGCACTCTGAAGATTGTGTCAACAGTCCAGTGTCACAGCTCAGTGGTACTTTAATGTAATACCAACTTGTAATACAATACATTTACACAAGCAGCACATTTTCTTTGGAAGAACTGCATATTATAAATGGATAATAAGGTTTTTTTGGTGGTTGGAGGGTAGGTTATGGCTCATTCACATGAAACTAAGCAGACAAGACAACAAGGATAATCAGGCCTCATTAATGCAATATAACAAGAGAATTTTCAGTTTGGTAATCTGCTTTTATTTTTTAATTTATGGAAGGTAAACAAAAGTAATATACTGCCAAGGATTCACTGACTCTGCTACTACTGCTACTAACACAAAACCAAGCAGAAATCTGAGCTAATATGGATGTACCACAAACTGCAGTTCCTCTGATGTCCACTAGAGGCTTCAAAAAGAAAAACTGTTAAAATATGAACCTTTGCAGCTTTAGAGCAGAAATAAAGATCTTACAACCTGTTATAAAGAACGATTTTGGTCCCTGTAGCTCATTTTTTCCCTTATAAGAACTGTACAACAACCCACCAGTCCAAATGTTCTTAAGGATTATATTAAGTTTACAATTTTAGAGGTGCAGCCTCTTTGACTGAGAGGTGGATGTGACAAAGGTGACTGTAGCTGCTAGGCTTCACCTTACTTAATTGAAATCCTAGAACTGGACCACTTTGTCTTATCCAACAAATAATAAGGCAAAATTTATCTTTATTTGGATTTTACTCAGCACCAGTTAACAGGTATCTTTGTCTGTGTGATGTAGCCATATGGTTACACTCCACACACCATCTAATTTTGGTTACTTTGGGCTCCTAAAGCCCAACATGACAACAGCCATAAAGGCTTGATTGTTCATCTTTCATATACAAAAGTAAAGCTAATGTTTTAGTACGTAAGAGTGTATTATTTTTAATGGGGAGAGACCCCAAGTTTTTTTTTTAAAGTCTGATTGTATTGAAGTCACTTGATTTATGACCTCAGTATCACTTTCCTAATGAGTTTATAATTGAATGTCCCACTTAGAGGATAAAAGGACTACTGAAGTTGTTTGAGAATGTAGTATGAGTATCAGTCAGCTCAAACCCTCTTTTTTTATGATCTCTACTTTCAAAAACATAAACTTATGACAGGTAAAATTCATGTGTCCACGACCTAAATGGGCTCCTTTCAAAACACCCACAACTACTCCATGGTAACTGTTAGTATATGTGGTAGTGACACCTTTCAGCTTATTTTGCTAACTGCTTCCACTTCACTACAAAGCAAGTGGCTTTGTGTGAAGCCGCCATGTGTAAGTGGCTGCACTGTTTCCTGACAGCTACTCACTGCGGGTGGGTCATCGATGGTGCTCTGGATGGCTGCAGCCAAGCCCTCCTTCATCATGCAGGTCAGGCTGTAGAACTCATGCTGTTGGTCAATCTCAAACAGGCCCAGAAGTTTCCACTGCTGCCTCAGACCTCCCCACCGCCTTCTCTTCATGGAGCGCTGCTGGTGACTTAACATCCCTGGACCGGCTGTCGACATCTCCATCTGAGATAGAGAAAAACAGCCCGATGAGGAAAAAATGTGACTGCTCCACTGTGGACGCAGAGGAGAAAAGAAATCAGAGTGTGAGTGGAGGCCAGAGAGGCCAGCGACTAACACAAAAGACAGCTGACTGTCAGTTGAGTCTTTAACAGAGTAACCATGGAAACCAACACAAAGGGATAAAAGCTTCATGGGCTGTGCTGTGGATAATGCCATAATGCTGCTCCTCTGAATGCCACAGAAAAACATTTTAATTGCGTGGTCATGTCATGTGTTTTACAGTAAATGTTTGACCCTGTGAGCTCTACACACCCGAGCCACTCAGTACTAAGCCAGAGAAACAAAAAGACTCCTATGGAATAAATAGTAACTGATAGTTTTTGATGTTGAATGATGCGTTCATCAGCGTTTAGGCATAAAAAGCACTTGTATAAATGTGTGACTGAGTGAATGAGGTACTTGTAGCAAGAAAGACCGTTGAGAGTAGAAAAAACTACCTTATCCTGCTGGAAACAACTGCCAAAAGATAGGTAGAAAGGTTGACTGGTGGACATGGTCAGCAGCAGCTTTTTTGATAGAGGCAGGATGGCTCCGCCCTTTCTTGTTGTTGTTTCCACCAAATTTTGACCCTACTATCCAAATGTCACAGCACAAACTGAGAAGTTCTTCCAGGCTTTAGTTGTCCAGTTTGATAAGCATAATGGGAATTGTAGTCCTAGTTTCCTGTTTTTAGCTAAACGAAATGGTGCATTGGGTGGTCTTCTCCTGCCCATCTGCAGTGCTACTTTGCTTTCAGAGAAGCTCTTCTGCATGCTGTGTGGCCATTCTCAGCTGATCTCTAACATCAACAAGGCTTTCTATTTTTCTTTCTGACCATTTTCTGTAACCCTAGAGATCTCAGCTGTTTCTGAAATACTCAGACCAGCTGACCAACAATATCCAAAAACCTTTAAATCACATTTCTTCCCCATTCTGATGCTCAATTTGAACGTCAGCAGCTCATCTTCACCATTTTTTATATGGTAAATGGTTGTTGATCTACACACATCTGTTGTTGCCATTTTTTATATGATGAGTTGCTGCCATGTGATTGACTGATAATATATCTGCATTAACATTCAGCTGAACAGGTGTATCTAATAAAGTGACTCATGAATGAAAATAGACACTAAAACCACTTGGTTTTATTTTATGAAGATGGTGGTTTGGGTTATAATTCACTCCTGGAAAACTTCATATCTGCTCAGTGACCAATGAAGCACAGTGGGTCCTGATGATGTGATTACATGTGAGGAGGTGTCAGTCTGAGCAGTCTCAGTGTTGCAAAGAAACTAAAGAAACAAATAAAAAAAATACTTGTATTTGGCTTCAAATAAACAGAGTCACTTCATCAGTAATAAAACCTTCATTTTAGAAACAACATTAAGATCTGTTATTACAGAGTCTTTATCCTGCAATTTAAACCCGTCTGAGATTACCATTTTTATCAGCTGGTGCTTTATAAGGAAAACAGTGCCTCAGCACTCACGTCACAGCGTTACCTTCCTTTTGTAAATTAGCCTGCCATGCCATTGGACGCGTCCATAGCAACATGCATGACGCTGCGCTCCTTGGACCTTTTGAGCTCCTCTCTCTGTTCTTCACTTTGACTGAGAAACAAAAGCTTCCTGTCTGATCACAGCCTCTCCTGATGCTGTTTGATGGTCTGAGTGTTCGGCTTCAGCACGTCTTTAACAATGGTGACAAACTGTAATAACCATTGTTAATAACTGGTAAAAAAAATAAAATAAATTGCAGTAAATTATATTTAATAATGTTTAATAACTGGCACATAATTGATTAGTAGAACATCATCTGGCAAAGTTGCAACTGATGTTTATAGAACGTTGCAAATCTATTCATCATTCAACCTTACTTGGCTCTTATAATGCTGAAACTGACATATAACTATTTCACAGGGTGTAAAAATGGACAGGTGTCCTGCTTCATTAAGTTTCCTGTTTTTTGGTTTTTTTTGCTTTAACTTTCTGTAAACAAATACATAATAAAGTACAGTGACAGGACAGGCCTGCTGGAGTCCAACGCCCACCCTCAACGAATCAGATTTACTGCTGGCAGTGCAAACCAGGCTCTAACTACAGGGACCAGATGACCCATAACAATGGGCCTGATACCCAGTACACTCAAAGCGCCCCCTACACTAATCTTTTTGTCACGTTTTACGGAATCAAACTCAAAGTAATGTCTGACCTTCCACGCTTTAAACACTGCATGGTTGCACTCTCTCCAGCACTCCATTTGTCCGTTGTTGATCTACACACATCTGTTGTTGCCATGGATGTTGCACACTCATATGTCATTGTCATGAGACACTCTCACAAACAAAATCACGACTTAATAACGTAGTAACGCCGCCTGCTTAGGGGAAACTAACAGTAATGTAATTACTTTTTTGCTTTAGTAATCCCTTACTTTACTCATTACTTGAAAAAAGTAATCGGATTACACATTACTGCCCATGTCAGTTAGTCACCCAGGTATGTTAACAGCTGTATTCTACAAATAAGTTTAGAACGTATCTTTAATCTGTTTAAGAGGACAACGACGTCTTGTGATTTTACTTGCGGACAATCTGTCGCTCTTATTTTGAAACCTTATCGAGGCTCATCGAGGCTGCAGAACAGCAGCACGAGACACAGGAGGTCTTGTTCACAGTCCGGGGAAGGATTGAGTGGAAGAGTGACTGATTGATGCAGCATCTGCCGAACCCGTTCTGCTGTGGTGGAGAGCTGAGCGTTGAAGCAAAGCTTTAGATTTACTGGTTGATCTACATTCCACATCTGTGCTGTGGGTACAGACTGAAAGCATGAGGGTGAGGTACGTGTGCTAGACATGAGCCTCCCCTGAAGGCAGGATGGGCTCAGCTTCAGAGATAAGACTAGAGCAGTTCCTCTTCCACATCAAAACGCAAGACTTAAGATAGTTTGATCAGGGTGCCTTCTAAGTGTCTTGGTATGAGTCCTCAGGCCCGACCCAGGACATGCTGGAGAGACTTTGTCTGTTGGGTAGACTGGGTTTTCTAACATTATAAAAAGTATTTAGCGCATCACGTGGAGAACTGGTTTATGTGTTGAGCTCATTAAAGCTGCAGAGCTGGTAGAGCTGGTCTCTATCTCTTGGGAGATAAATCACGGGCGATCCATTTTTTTTGAGCAACTTCTGGAAGTTAAAGCACAATAATTACTGGCAGCTGGATGTGCCGGCAATAAACTGGTACTTTACATTCGACCTCCTGAAATCTAACCTTTATACCTTTACTTAACTGTAACTGAAACAGTGCTGTATTCAATTAATTAAAAGAACCATTAACTAAGTTTCAGTCTTGATTACAGCAAGACTGGAAGCCTTCAAACATCCATTACAATCAAGTGTAAACTCTAAATAACTGATAAGCCACCACAAACCCCCCCAAACTGATGAACTGTATAACCCAGGTAAAGTCTCCCAAGGCAAACTGGTCCGAGGAGATTAATTAGACCTAGAGCGATTTCAAGAACTCCAGTGAAGCCTAAAACTTGGATCTGGATAAACTTGTAGGAAGTGTGAATCTACACCCAAGAGGAAAGCTAGTAGAGAGGGAGTGCATTATTTGATTTACGAGGCAGGTGGCTGGAAGTCTTTTCTTTTGTTTCTTAACCTTTTCCTTGCTTTGGAGCCTCAGGCGGAGATGGAGTGATGGCTTCTATCTCCTGCTCCACCCCCTGCCTGGAATTTCTCCATTGAAACAGTCCTTCCAACACCTGCCCTCTATCTGGTAATCAAGTGTAGAGTACAGCAGTTCTCTGCACCATTATATGGTGAGAATTAGGCCACCTCTGTTACCTGCCGCTTTTGTGGTAACACAGTGTGCTTTCACGTCTCCAAGCTAGCTGCTCCAAACTTCCACAGAAGGAGAAGGTTCATCTGGAAACTTGTCTACCTGTTGCTTGAAGAAATTTATAGCTGTACTTACCAGCTCTGAACCCAATTACCTGTAACATGTCACAGGAAAGACTTACCTGCTCTCTTGCCTTTCTGCCAACTCTCTGATGCTTGCCAGCTGTCGGCACACCACATCCAACTCATGTAAGACTGTTAAACACCCGCTGGCTTTCTCATGTGAATTCAGTAGCACAGCAGCTGATGTGCACACTAGCCTGCCATAAATTATTATTAGATCATGCTAGGACTTGCTCCGTACATTGGCGGCTGCTGTTTGTGACAAACATGGGTTCCAGTGGAATTCATAGCAGCTTTCCCTTCCAGAGAGTTTCACTTTCACCAATGAAAATAAAAGTGTGTCAAAGCAACGCAAGTGAGCAAAACATCAGCAATATGATAACAATAGAAAGGATAAAACCCAGAATTGCATGCCAATTACAGGCCAAAAAAAATATAAAACAAATGAAAGGAATTAAATATTAAATAAAATAATAACGTTACAGACAGAGATTGGATATGGCAAACATACTGCCCTTTTTATAAACCCAAGTATAGAAAAGATTTTAACCGTCAGATCTTTTTTTTTTCACCCCAGCTGTTGTTATTTTTATGTACCATAAAACATTTATGGTACATAGAATCTTTTTCAATAAAAAAATACTAACTAATACACGTTTTGGTGATTTTTGAAGTCCACCCATTCCAGGCTTCCAGGCCCATTGCTGTGGTAAAGATGATAGGTGGAAGGTTGTGTGGGAACCCAGGAAACAAATAAAAAATGTAACACTAGCATAGGATTTGAGTCAGTTGTAATTTCCCTGGTCTTGTGATGTTTTGCAGAGTAATGCACAGCATGACAATGAAAACAGCTAAACTGATGGAGATGAGTCAGTATATAAAAATGTGTGAAAACCATCATTATCAATAGGGCTGGGCTATATCATGCCATTCACGGTAATACCGGTGTAATGTTGGGCAATGATAAGAAAATGAAATATCGCGATAGAATATGGGTAAAACGCACATGCGCAGTGCCTTTGTTTACATATGCACTTGGCTACGACGCAGAATGAGACGAGCGAAAGTGGATCGTTGAATGAAACGGATGAACCAGAATTGGTTTGTAAAAATGCTGCAGCTTCAGTGGTGTGGAACTGGTTTAGCTTTCGTCCGTCAGATACACAACAAAGCACTATTTTTGGTAGAGCATGCTAGCGGGCCGTCGTTATTACCGTATTGTTTGGAAAATACGGCACACTTAAAATCAATCCTTTGATTTTTCTGAAAATCGACAGGTCCCCTTATAATCCCGTGCGCCTTATGTATGAATTCTGGTTGTGTTTACTGACCTCGAAACGATTTTATGTACACGGCGCTGGAAAATCTGTCAAATGTTTCAGTACGACTTTGCTAAGCTACGAAGCCGCACCGCTTGATGGATTGTCGGAGCATAGCGGCTATCGTAGGCAGGAGCCTCGCGGAGTGATACGTACTGTGCTTCAACATAATATTACCGTATTGTGTGTGTGTATAACCTCTTTTTAAGTTTTGTGGATATTATACATGGTTATGCTGAGGATATGTCGGCCAGTTTCCACTGAAAATGCCTTTTGGTTAAACTGTCAGCAAGGAATTTGCATTTGCACTGTTAACTTTTTGTATAACTTTAACGCACTTAAAAAGCTGCTTGTGTAAGTGAAAATACATTGATGGGGGTGTTTTTTGCACCAATAAAGTAGAGGAGTTGTAAAGTATTTTGTCTAGTGTCAATTATATCGTCAATTATATCGTTATCGCAAATTTTCAAATGTATATCGTGATAAATATTTTTGGTCATATCGCCCTGCTCTAATTATCAACATTAAAATGTTTTGATTATCTTTCATATGAACAGTGTAAGTATGCAGGCCAAGATTTTAGTGGATATTTTAAGATTTCTTTGGTGCAACAACAAGAATAAACCCATCATAATAGATGCCTACCTGCCGACTAATACACTCACTGAACTCTGATTTGCATTTTTTTCTACCCTCTTGTTAGTCCAAACTGGTCAGGTGCATTTACCACAGAGTTTGCTTATTAGCACAGAATCATGTCCCACTGCTAAGACAGGTGAGTCAAATACGTGGCCCTAGGGCCTGAACTCGCTCACTGAAAGACCCAATCCACCCCACTGGATGGCTTTAAAAAGTCTAAAACCTGCAGAGAAGCAGGGCACAGCTTAGTTTAGCTTTTCCCTGTTTTCCTGTGTGAATTCTTTTTTTAAACTCCTAACATCTACCATGACACTGGCAATGATCAAGGATTAGGGTTTTGGTACAGTTAGCAGCTAACCTTTCTTCCAACCCTTCTAATAAATAATTAGTCTATTAAAAAAAGTTTTATTTATTTTTGCAGAAAATCTGTGACGCCAATATGAGAGGGAACATCTTCCAGTTATGAAATAAAGCACAACCCTGTTAAGTGCCATGGTTTGTGTGCAGGGAGGCATGAAAGGTCCCAAAATTCAGACTCAAATGCAGAGGCCAAGCTGAAACTCAAAATGTTAGCTTTATTGCTGAACACTGAGGAAAAACTAAATTAAACTTGGCAGGCTTGGCAAACAGAACACACAGACATATATGAAGGAGATCGTGACACTGATGAAGAGAAACACGGGGCTACACTGAGGGATAACGAGGGGAATGAGACACAGGAGGAGAGCACAGCTGAGAGTAATTAGGCAGGACGAGACAAGGGAAGCAAAACTAGAAATATTAACATAAGATGCAGACTGTCAAAGTAAAACAGGAAATATAATACAGACGCGGACTTGACAAGGGGTTACAGCGCAAACATGGAACACAGAGAGAAACCAATAGACTAAGAACTCTAAATAACACAAAAGAGAAGATTATTAATAATAAACAACACAAAACACTGGGTCACAGACCCAGTCATCCAGGACCATGACATTAAGAACTTAACTTCATTCAAACCAAAGACCGAAACAACAACCTTCACACTGACGCCCATAATCCTGCGTGCACATTATCTTACATTTGTTGATTTATGCAATTTTCAGAATACAATCCCAACCCCAGTAAATCCGGCCATGGATTGATTAGCTGACTAATGTGATGGGGAAGTAACCGCTCACTAATGTCATGATGGAAGCCATTAACGCGGTCAATGCATGGTCAACATTTATGGCACTCAATGGCCACAGAGGCATCTTTGCAGTCAAAAGCAGTCACAGTGTGATGGTGAAACTTCCAAACAAACAGAAGTTGATGCTGTTTTTATGGACAGCAAAGTTGCAACAACTGATTTGGTCACTATACGGCTGTGAGCAGACAGCCAACTCAAAATGAATTGAGGACATTTCATCTTTAAATGAGAATCTGATGATTGTAACAAAAACAAAGCTGACAGTGTCTAATAACTGCACACAGCAGCCCGGGGAGGTGACTACACATCAGCAGCTTGGGTGAAACCCCTCACACAGTTGATCTCTAGCAGTGACTGCACGCATTATGGAAGCAATCAGATTCAAAGCGTTTCACTTGCCTCTGTACAGCAGCTGATGGTCGGCCTGTCCGTGTCTCTCCCAGTGTGTGTCACTCACTGAGTGCATGTGTGTCACATGTCAGCCTGCAGAATGACCGTGTGATGTCATCGGAGCATAGCCCGGCTCACCCAGCGGTCACACCCACACTGGCACTGACTGTCTGAGGCAGACACGACTGCCGGCAGCTGCAGCTCTGATACTGCAGTCAATATGAGGCAAGCAGAGGTGCAGAAATAAAAGGTTTGTTGGCAAAGTGGGAATGCAACTGCAGCGCAAACTCTGCTGACTCACTGCTGGAGGTTTTCCAGCCAACTGGACTCGAGTCTTCATCCATCTGAAAACACACCCAACACTCCACAGACAAGAAACCCCAACTCCTCTCAGACGATATACAAACATATACAATACCTTCAACATAGATTTTCACTTGGAGACACCAGAGTTATTGGATTTTAATTTGCTTTTTCTCCATTTTTTTTTCCTTTTTGCAAATTCTTTCAGATCAAATCAAATCAAAATGTATTTCTATAGCACATAATAATACAACAAAGCTGACCAAAGTGCTTCACAGTTGGTCAGAGAAATAGCATGAGACAGCAAAAAAGAAACAGGTAAAAGGAGGGCAGGAAACAATATGAACAATATGAGTAAAAAACAACAACAACACATAACTAGCCATGAAATAGCATATTAGTTTGAATCAAAAGGTTATTCCAGAGTCTGGGAGCTACGGCAGCAAAGGCCTGACCACCTCTGAACTTCAGACGAGACCTCGGTTGCATCAGGAGCATTTGATTAGAAGATCTAAGTGCCTTATTAGGGATATACAAATGGAGGAGTTTGCATAGATAGCTGGGAGCCAAATTGTTTAAAATTTTAAAGGTAAGCAAGAGAATTTTGAAATTGATGCGATATTCAACAGGAAGCCAATGTAGGTTGGCTAAAACTGGTGTGATGTGGGCATAATTTCTAGTATCAGTTAGGAGATGCGCAGCTGCGTTTTGAACTAACTGGAGGCGGTGGATAGAGGAAGATGGGAGGCCCAAGTAGAGGGAATTACAGTAGTCTAATTTGGATGCAAGTTAAATATCAGTGTGACAGCTCAGATGAACAATTTGGAGACAAAGTTAGAGAAGGAAGGATGTGATGATTTGGACATGTATGGAGGAGAGAGAGTGGATATATTGGACAAAGGATGATGAAGATGGTGTTGCCAGGTAGGAGGAAAAGAAGTTGACCTTGGAGGAGGTTCAAGGATGCAGTGAAGGTTGAATAAAATGGGTCTTTCGTCATTTTTGTGACAAAGGATTTCATGATAAAAGTATTAACATGAAAGTAAATGGTCTTTTTTCTGTCCCAAATTATAGATTCTGATTTATTTTGATGGTAAGAAAGACAAGTGAAATTTTCAGCCTTTTCTTTAAAAGTCTTTGAGATATTCACGTTCAAACGTTGCCTCAGATTTCAGGGCGCGAAAAAACAAATAAGTCTCGGATGTGGGCTTTTACCTGTTTTGTCTCACTGAGAGTGGGATCTCAGATAATACAAAGACATTAAGAGAACAAATACCAGAAAATAATGGCCTTTACCAAGATAACTGGAGCAGAACGGACTGAATTGTTGGCTTCTACAAGCTGTAAAAAAGTCTACTATTGTAAGATACTACATATCGTGTGTGTGAGATTGTGAAACTTGTGGTGTCATTGTGATGTCGTAGCTCTCACCATGCTCTTTCATATGATGTTATACTCAATTATATTGACTTTGGGTGCTTACAATGAAGGTCATATTACAGATTTACTGATATCTGATATTTGAATACTGACTTGCACATTTCCTGTGACCTTGATCTTAACTATGAACTGATTTTCAACCAAATTAAATCAGCTCGAGTTCGTTATTGATATTTACTATCGCACAACATTTGAAAATTATACATGAAAACTGTAGACTGGAAACAAACAGAACCAGTTCTCCTTCACTTTGAGGGGAAAAACTGCAACTCATTAGTTGAATTTTCACAATGAACGATCGAAACTTTAGGATACTGAGTCAGAGCGGTGAAGGAAAAATGTCATTCCTGTATCAAACCCTGTTCATAAAATGCAGTAGAAGAAAGTGTTAGATGTTTTATTACTGGCCAAATGAAGAAGAGGCACGCTATAGACAAAAGCATTAGACCGCACCTGTAAATCATGCTCGGCAAGACATTTTGGAACTTTCAGCTTTGTGGAAACTGGTTGAAAAAATGATTTCTGCACAAAGAAAGGTCCAAACAGGCATGACTGACAGAGTTAGATGTGGCAGAACTTGACTGGTTTGCACAGAGCCCTGACCTCAACCCCATCAAACACTTTGATCATACCAGAAGGGAGTGTGCAAGTGTGCAATCAGTGTCTGAACTTACAAATGCTCATCTGGATGAATGAACAACATTCCCACAGACACAAAAGTCCTGTAGGAAGCCTTCGCAGAAGAGTGGAAGCCTTGAAAGCTCCTGCAGGTATAATCTGCAAGTTTCCCAGTATTTCTGTCTGCCACTCTGATGTCTGTCTAGCAGTTAAAAATCCTCTGAAATAGACTGATTTGACTTTGGATCAACAATTAGTGAGCCGACACCTTTGCAAAAAGCCAAATACCAAACAATTTTGAACAATACTGGTTAATAACAGAGTAGTAAGTGTACCAACCTAATGGTCTGTGGGCTCAGAGTCCTCTCGTGTGTAGCCAGGATTCTTGATCCGCTCAGAGAGGATGTATCCAGTTTAAATGAATCTAATAAGCTGTTACTGAGCCACGGTTCAGTCAGGAGGAAACCCAGCAGCTCTTCATCTTTTTGGTTTTGCCGGTTGTGTTAGCCTTGAGCTTGCACCTCTTCCTCCTGACTCTGTGCAGCTTCCTCCATTCCCCTGCTGCCGGGCTTCACATCTCCAGAGCTCTGCTCACGGCGTCCTTGACAATGCATCCTTGGGAACGGATTCTAGGGAATGTGTCCTTGGGAATGTCCTTTTTCCTCGGAGATCGTAGCCACTCGCCCGCATGACAAACTGCCAGAACAAGCTTGGAGATGTTGGGCTGGGGAATAAAAGAGTGCCATTTATCCAATTCCAATTAAAATAGCTGCTTATTACAGCTTTAACTGAAGAAGAGGGAGTGATTGTGAACAGAGGACAGAGGACAAAATGTTTCATAACCCATTTTATCAACAAAGCATCCATGGATTGGAGAAATGCTGTCCCAGCATGTGGAAAAAATATGAAGCTCAGTGAGCTGAAATGGCTGTGGCAAGCTGATGTTCAACACATTTATTATATCTGATTTTATAAAAGCGTCATAGGCTCAAATTATGTGTGGCTTAAATCACCCAATCTCACTCAGGGAAAGATTTTTTTTCTCTAATCTGACAGCAAAGGAGTGACTAATGGGACTGGACAATATAACCAAAACTGCATTTCTTTAAACAGCGTCTCAAAAGTGAGGCAGTGCCCGCAGAGTCTCATGTCCAGCTATACAGCACATATAAACGTGTTTCTAAACAATATGAATTCTTTAGAGATTTATAAAATTGCACACAGATTATTTTTCTATGACAAGCATCTATAAACTAAATTAAAGGCTTATTGCCACTTTGACTAGTCTGATCCAGGTGGCTGTAGCTTTAGAGCCACACTCCTGGTAACTGGAGCCACAAGCTGACCTTGGACTCTGTGCTGTTTGAGACCTTTATTCTTTTTTTTTTAATGCAATCATCTGGTGAATATTCAGGCTCGCTGTGTGGGTACTTGTATTAACAGCCATATACTGTGTGTAACTGTAATCACATTGCATTTTTCATTGAAACAGTAACAATCACATCGCACACATTAGAGTTGCAGTTATGTTACACTTACTTGTGTTACAAAGAATCTTCTGTACTTTTAGTATGTGAGTGTAACTTTCTTGTACAAAGAGCGATGACGGGAATAAAAACAAACTGCAAGCTTTGGGTTTAAAAAATCAATTTCCAGATTCAAAACTATTTTAGTTTGAACAGGGCGATATCAATTCACTAAATCCTGAATCTATTTTTAAATATAAATGCATTTTGCCAGACACGCCAGAATCTCAGGTTAAAGCTCAAAAAACTATTTCTACAACCAGGTTTCATCACTCTCTGACCAAAATTCACTGAACCAACAGCAAAAGAAGATCAAAACTACACTTCATGTTTGAAAACCATTGTCATGAATTTGTAATCACGTTAGACGGTAAATCTCTCTCCAAAAAGAGTCGCAGTGATTAAATCCATTCTGAATTACAAAGAAACAAATTCAAAGTTTTTGATGTCATTTTGCTGTCTGTTGATACCCAACTATCCTGCGTGAGAAGCGTCGTTATTCATGACACCTGGGAGGAGACTGACAACACATGATAAACTACATGTGCAATCAGTGGACTGGAAACAAAATCCTGACAAATCATTCACTCGGACAGTGTTGTTGCAGGATGGTGGGGAATGACAAACGCCAATGTTCATCATTCAAGCTAGCAAGAGCTGTTATAGCTTCAGGTATCTTTGTGGGCTCCTCAGATTTAACTCTTTAGGCACCACATTCTGTGTCACTCCAAATCCAAAAGTACAAATGTGCCTGCTCATTTGTTAAGCCACCACACTGTGGTGCTTCACTCCTCCCACAGAAGCAGATGGTGAACCACACAGCTACATACTAAATACGAGCTTAGTACAAATGAAATGAAGATATTTCACCCCCTATTTAATATTTTCATTGGGAGTGAGCAGAATAGACAAGATTAGAAATGAGTGCAGCAGATGGACAGCTCAGGTTTAAAGGCAAAGTTAAAGACTCAAGCTTGAGAATGTTTGCACATGTACAGAGGGGGGAGAGTTGGAAGATGACAATAGAGCTGCATGGCATGAGGAGAAGAGGAAGACCTTAGAGAAGATTCATGCTGTGAAGGAGGATATGGGTCGGTATGGCTTGAAGCTGTACCGGCCCATATCGCCAGGTCGTCTGCTACTCTTTCTGGTAAATCCACCTCCCCGTCTGAACTCACATTTGTTTTTCCAATTGTTAATATTTTGTCTCCCTTTCCTGCAGTCTCCATGCCTAAGGACC